AGCTAGATCGATGGAAGCGTTCCTAGCACTCTGTTCACGGGGGACGGGGCAGCTTAACTACGTCACTCAGGGGGGTCGATTTTTCACACACACCCCAAGCAACATAGCTGGGTCAGCCAAACTTTTTAGTGTAGACCAGGCCTCAATCTGCTTGAACATGAAATAACGTCCCACATGGCCTTTGGCATCAGTTTGACAAAATTGGTTTAAACTCTCACCTCAAATTAAACCAGTGCAGCTCCTGTGTACAGAGGTTTCTTTAAAGGTGCATTTGAGTCCACATCACTGCAGACCCCAAAGAAAGCAACCACTTACATGACCCCTTTTCTCCCCTCTGCCATGCCAACCCCCTTGGTTTGTTCCACGAGCTCTCTTTCTGTTAAAAGCATCACTGCTAGAGGAATCATTCCTTGACAGCATCAGAAAGCATCTACTGCCCCTTCCAGGTGTCGTGTTGCGTTGCTCAGTTACCAAGCCTGGACTCCACTCTGTATTGGCTCTGAGGCACTAAACGCTACCAGTTCACTATGGTGACCTCTCCCAACAGCCCAGAGCACCTAGTCGGACATTCAGAGCCAGAGAATTAAGTGGCATTAATCCCAGTTGGGTCCGACTGCTGCTGAGGCAGTTTGGAATGGCCGGATTTCTTTGTAGCTTTGCCCCCGCTGTGATGTGGTGACGTTCACTTAAAGGACTAGGAAAGGCTGGCTATCCGGAGGCCGAGAGGACGGTAATCAGTGTAAGGAAACACAAACCGATAGCCCAGATCCAGAGCGTACGTATCTGGTAACCTACAGCCCAGAGTGCTGCAGTCACTAGATTTCTGCTGTTGTGATGTCTCTTGGGAAGAGACGACAGCTGCGTGCTCTCTGGCATGTCCAAATTACTCCACGTTGCCTAGCCATCTCTGGCTCGCTTTGCCTTGTCTAATCTAGCTGTACGCTCTCTTTCTCCCCCTCCCGCCTTTCTGGGGGGGTGTGTGTGTGTGAAATGGGCACAGGACTCAGCCCTGAGCTGGCCTCTGCGCTAGAGGCTTTTCAGATCCCCGACTGCAAGGACGACGACATGGTTCTCTCCAGACAGTTCGACAAGCCCGACAAGAACAGGAAGTGGAGGGAGGGCGTGCTGAAGTCCAGCTTTAACTATCTGCTGTTGGACCCCAGGTATGGCCTCTCTTCCCAGCTCTCTCCCTGCACCATGTCCACGCAGAGCGGCTTTTGCCATCTGTCTCTTAGGGGGTCTCTCTGAACTCTTCGCCCGTAGGGACGAGGTTTGCAGGTCCCCACATCTGACCTGCTTTAAAACTGCCATCTCCTGGGGAAGGTCCACTAGGAGAACTTTCTCTTCTACCCTACTGCTCCGTTGGCAGGAGTGCCTCTGCTGTCCTATTCCTGCAGGACCTACGTGGGGTCAGGGGAGATGGTTTATGCCGTGTTTGTACCAGCAGGGAACTGATGCCCGCTGGCCAAGATTTTCCGAAGTGACTGGTGACCCTTTTGAGACCCCTTAAAAGAGCCTGAGCTAATAACAATACACAGAAACTAGCCGGGGCCCCAGAGGAGTCCTGCGGGGCAGCAGCCTGCTGAGAAGTAGCTCAGCCGGAGACTTGGGGCGTGTGTAAGGAACAGCAAATGAGACCAAACCCTTCTACACACAGTGTTGCCTCCTCTTGCAGGGTGACTCAGAACTTACCTTTCCGCTGCCAGCACCTGAGCCAGGCTGACTGCTTTAGGATTTTCGTCAGTGCCATCTTCTACGTGGGCAAAGGAAAACGCTCCCGACCCTACAGCCACCTCTACCAGTCCTTAACTCACTACAAAGGTGGAAAGAAGCAGGTAACTGGGCAGGGGAGTCATAAAACAAACAGCCACTAGGCGGCGATAGGCCCTAAACAAGACTTTTCTGCTCTGCCCGAGGTTTAAAACCCACATTTAACACAAGCGCTGTACAGATGAGATCAGCGTAAAGCTGGCCCTCACTGATTTACACAGGGCCAGGATCTGGCCCGAAGCTGTTTAGTCCCCTGTGGAAAGGGGTGTGGGGTGTGCATGCCTCAGGAGAGCCCTTTAACATCAAGGTTTGCCACTTTGACTCCTGCGCTGCCTGGTAGTGACAGGAAGCTGGTACCAGCTGATGGCTGGGTGCTGGGAGCCGGCCTGCTTTGTGGATGGAAAGGGCTTCGGGCCTAAGGGCTCTTACCTGGCACCGTTCACACTTGTACCACTTGTCAATGAGGGCCTGGAGAGATGGCTGTTCCGTGGAGAATGACCAGGAACCTGTCAGGGGACAATGAGCTGGCTGCTCCAGATCTGGCTGAGAACCAGTTGGAAGAATAAAATTGCTTGGATTTAAATGTCTCTGGGAATGGCCCATGCCCAGTGTGTCTCACGGGATAACTTGCCCCCCCAGTGGTTTTCAACCTGTGGTCTGCAGATCCCTAGGGGTCCGCAGACTGTCTAAGATTTCCAAAGGGGGCTGCACCTCCATTCAAAATTTGTTTTAGGGGTCTGCAGATGAATGAAGTTTGAAAACCGCTGTGTTGGAAGGTTTGTAGTCACCACTGTGTCCCCCGCAGGCGTGCCCCAAAGTGCAGCAGATCCTGGACATCTGGGCGGGCGGCCAGGGCGTGATCTCCGTGCACTGCTTCCAGAACGTCATCCCAGTGGAAGCTTACACGCGGGAGGCCTGCTTGGTGGATGCGATTGGTAAGGCAGTAGCAAGTAGCACAATGGTTTTGTCCTAGGTTTACACGAGCTTCCCCCCCTCCCCGAAATCCTTTAAAGACACCCCCCATCTGGCCATTCCCTCCATAGCCCCACGGTGATGTGGTTTAGAAGGGGAGGGGCTGGACTCTGAGCCCACGACTGGGAGCCCCAACTCTGAGGTTCCAATCCCAGCTCTGAAACTGAATCCCCCCCGCGTGACCTTGGGGAAGTTTTCCCAGCTCCGTGCCTCGGTTTCCCCATCTGTAAAGGTGGAATGGCGATGACAACTTGCCTCCTAGTGGGGCAGGGAGGGTTGGCTTGTTTATAAAGCACTTTGAAGATGAAATATTTGTTCTTGGTTTCACGTGAACCTCAGTCTGCTCACCCTTCTGAGCTTCTAGCCATCCCATCCTCTTGAGTTCAAGGGGCTCGGAGCCTGGGGCAAATGTACACTGTTTTTTCGGGGGGGGAGAAAGGATTTGCCTCTATTGTAAAGCAGGTTTAACTGTCTCTGCGTCAGAGCCTGTCTGGCTCTCTCTGCAGCCAGGTTGCTGTTTCCTGTTTTCAGTCTCTCTCTGATTCAGTTGCAGCTGGGAGCTATGGGCAGGCAACGCCTCCTGCACTCTGCTGGAAAGACTTCCCCGTGTTGGGGGGGGCCTAGCTTGAACGCGCCCTGCCTGAATCGGGGGCAGATGGGAGGGATGGGGGCTGTCACTGAGCTGAACTCACTCCTGACACGAGCAGCTGCGACTCTGTTGCGCTCCATGGAAACGCACCTCCTTCAGCAGCCTTCCCGTAGGCAGCCAGAGAGAAGTTTCACATGGCTGGAACAGGACGGGGGTGATTCCGCTGGGGGTGAGGAGCGGGGGGAATCAAGCTGTGGGCTCCCCTGCTAGTGAAACCGTCTGACTCCACCACCTCCTTACAGTAGAAGGCTTGAGTGAGCATGCTTCCCCTTCCCCTTCCAGGGTTAAAGATGCTCACCAATCAGAAGAAGGGGAATTACTATGGCGTTGTGGCAAGCTGGCCCATGAAGCGTCGCCGGTGCCTGGGGATTCACATGCTGCACAGGGCCATGCAGATCTTCCTGGCGGAAGGGGAACGGCAGCTGCGTCCCGCAGACATCCAGATTGGGCAGTGAGGATGCTCCCGGCTGGCAGCTGCAGCACCAATTGGATGACTGCGTATGGTGAGCCGGGGAGGTGTACGGCTCGCAGAGGGGCTCTTAGCCAGACGGGGTCTTGGAGTCATTCACCACCGGCAGCAGGGCTGAAACTTGCTGCTCGAGAAAAGGGGAAATCCAAGCTGCTGTGGAATTGACCCCTGCTCACCTCTCCCTAGAGAAGGGGGAGCGTTAAACTGCACTTGGCCAACTGGCCGTGGAAGGTGCCTCCTGCCTGCCGGGGGGGATTTTTAATCACTGAAACGTGAATTAAATTTGTCTTTTATCTCTGCTGCTCTGAGGTTTGGCAGGACCCTCGAGAAGTCAGGAATAAAGAACACCCGGGGGTTTTACAGCGTTTGTAGGAAGCGGAATCATTCTCTAGTGTCATGTGCTGACCGGCATGTGAGGGGCAGGGGAGTTTTAAACATCGTACCTGTTATAATGTCTGTTCATGTTCTTGATTCTGTCTGTGGAATTGCGCATGGAGAAAGAGCTGCGGGAGAGCCGGCGCTGGGGAGCACGCCCTTTTACATACTGCTAGTTTTTGTGCTGCTTGAAGGTTTGTATTTTTTTAACTTTTTTATTATTCTTCCCTAAGTGTGTTTTTTTAAAAAATAAATCACTGTGGATGGCTCTTAACTCAGAAGTAGAAGCTTTTCAGCCTGTCTGTCTGCAGGGATCTGAGCTGGGTCTCGTCTCAGTCCATCCCCCAGCCTCTGTTCTGCTTTGTGAAGCAAACAGTGCAGGATCATTCCTCCTCCCCATCTCCACCCCGAAGTAGGGAGAGGTGTTGGGCTTCCCTGTTCCTTCTCTCACACATTTTAATCTCTCTGGTACATTGTGCTGTACCAATCTTTAGGCTCAGAGCTGGTTTTCTCACACCCCTTTGAACTGATCAGGGCTGTTCTCAGTACCAGCTCTAACAGGCTCCTTGGAGAGCCATAAGACTCCTGCCCGGCCTGTGAGACACCCTGCTCCCTTGCTCATGCTTTAAAATTCAGTGAGACTCTCCTTGTGACCAGCAGAGAGGCTAACAGCTCAGAGCAGCAGTGATGGAACTAGGGCCTATGTTAGAGCCTAGACCAGACCCTGCCCCAGGAGCGTGTCACTATCAATAAAGTCACATGTGCTGAGAATATCGTAGATATTTACTGTATGAAATGGCACACTCACAGGTTAGGGTTTCATTTTTAAATGGTGGATCACAGCACACAACTTTCCTTTTGCTTCCACACAAGCAGGGTCAGGTACAAGTGGCACAGACTCCAGAATTAATGGCAACAAACACTTAAAAGAACGTGTACCACAACAGGGCACAGTAACAGTCACCTCAACACAGCGACAAGGTCAACCCTGTGTTTCCAAGTACAAATCAGGAGGATGGGGGAAGCAGCTCTTGGGGCCCAGCTGTAGGGAGGGACTGTTAATGGTCAAATCAGACAGCATGGCAGTCCAGTGCCAGCAGCAGGCTTCTGTCTGTGGGGCCACAGCCTGCCTGGGGCTGGTGGTTACAGACAGTTCTCTAAGAACCTCACCCTTGCCACTTAGTGGGAGAGAACCTAGCCAAAGCATTGGCCTCTTCTCCCTCCTCATTGGAGAATAGCTCCTACCCTCCCACCCATCAGTGGGGCTAGCTGAACACACCCTGCTCTAAGGGTGAGGAGAAGGGTGGGACAGGGCTGCACCCAGGGCTGCACCTCTTCACCCCACACTTTGGGCAGCCATTAACCCTTAGTGCTAGGATGGTGCTGTTTGGAGTCGGTAGCATTTTACACCCACTGGTGTAAGGGACTGTGTGGGGTGAGGAGGAGTTGGGTCCAGTACCTCTTCCTTTGTCATGGGCAATAGCTGCCCGCTACTGCCACTATTTTGGGGGGTGGGGAGGGAGAACAGTCTGTCTACTGCAATAAGCAGAGATTTCTTTACGCTACAGTGACAGTGTTCTCTGGTGGCTGGCTGACCATGCAGCCAGCCCCTGTCTGCACTCAGCGCAGGGTCCAGTGCAAATCCATTCTCTGGCAATGAAGTTACTACACATTCCTCATTCCGTGGCGTGTCTGACAGACCCCTCGGCTTTCTCAGAGCAGTGTTAGCATTTCCGGACCCCATCATAACAATGAACTAGAGGCAGGAGCCTGTCTGCCATTTAGTCCCTAATCAGTGCAGCTCTTCCTCCTTGGAAGCTGCTGTGTCGTTTTCCTGCTGCTTGGGGCCAGAGCTGGCTGAGTTGCTGCTTCTCTCTGAGATGCCCATGCAAATCCCCTGCAAAGAGAATCTGTTGTCTGTAGTTTCCAGTGAGCCAGGGCTGTCCAAACCACAGCGGGATAATTCCACTGCCCGCTGAAATTCAGCAGCTGTTTAATAGCGTGCAGCAAAAGGCTGCACAACCGTTTCACTTGGCAATGGCAGGGTTAATTTAAGCAGGCACAATGTAATTACCCAGAGTGGGACTGGGCCAGAACAATGAGGTTAACGATCCCCTGCCCTTTCCCAGCGAGCTGGGGGATCTTTCCTGACTAGTTCTACATCTCATTCAAACGCAAAGTGCTTCCGAGCCCCACAGCAATAACCCCCGAGGATTCAGTTTGCAAAGGGAGGGTCCCCTTGGATTGTTAACTGGATGGTCCCTAACAAATGGAAGGTTACAACAGGTCTGTGCACATTTCTGCAGCTGCTCTGAAATAAAACATCAGAAGGCTGAAGTGCTAGGCGGCTTCCACTAAGAATTAAGGACACAAAGAATAACAGAGATGCTGTAACACGGGGGTCATCCAGCCATGTAACGGATGACAAGGCGTTAGTCTAGAGATGGCGTTAGTCTAGAGATTCCTGCTTCGATTGGTTAATAGCAGCCACTTGGTCACACAGTTCACTGGAGGCAAAGTCGACTAACTGGAAACATGTTTTGAACCTCCTTGTAAGTCATTAAAATTCTCATTATGAGACAAACAGGTACAGACAGCAAGGGCCAGGAGCCAAGTCCACCACAGCCGCATGGGTCAGGAGCACCCGGGAGGGACACCCTTCAGTCAGTGATCCATATCTGCTGGTTCCCGCGGAGCAGGGAGTCAGGTTGCTGTCGCATATGGTGGGTTGCCATACTCAGGCTTCCTCCCCGCTAGAACCTGCTGGCTCAGGAGATGGGTTCTGTTCTGGAACGGCCATCGCTAGGCTTATGGCGGTTACTGTTGTCGTGTCAGAGACCCTAGGGCTGTGCTCCCGGGGACGAGCCAAGCTCAGCAGTGGCTTTTGGCTTGGCCCACAGCCGCTGCAGTCCGTGGCAGGGCTGAGCGTGCCTGGAGCAGGTTTGGCCTTGGAGAAGTGGTGCTGTCACGCAGAGGTGGGCGCAGAAGCCCCTCAGCCCTGGCTGTGCAGAAGAGCAGGGGGTCAGCTGCACTCAGGAGGCCCCCAAAGATCCTTCCAGCAACTTGGTCCAGCTCCAGTAGAGGATTGGCTCAGCCTGTTCTTGGGGTGAAGTGTCCAGATCTGCCCCACCCCGCCCCCGTTCAGTTCTCTGCAGAGTGCGGGAGCTGCTCTGCGGAGGCCTGTACAGGACAAACAGGCTCATTTGTATCTCTTTGGTTTCGATGACGGAGCAGGGAAGGGAGAGATCCCTGCACCCGGCGTGGGCTCTGGCAGCCTGGGCGATGCCGCACAGGGTTGGGTGTGCAGCTCTATGGCCACGAAGCGCTGTTCCTTTTATGGGCCGTCAGCTGGCAATAATCCAGCGTGGAGCAGGAGGGAGCCGATAGGCCTGGCTGCAGGGGGGAGAGCTGCAGCACAGCTGTCCCAGCCAGGCCTCGGTCACACAGCAGCCCCCACCCATCCCCTCACTCCTAGTAACTGAAAATGAGGGGTGGGGGAGACTTTTTCCTCTGCCTCTGGGTCAGTCTGGCCTGCAGCTGGACACGGTTAAACTGGCCCCAACTCCTGTCCACCCCGCTGTGGAATGGATCAAATGGTCACTGCTGTCAAAGTGGAGGGGGAGCCCCAGAGCTCAACTTTCAACTCTTCGCAGCCCGTTCTGCAACGGACTCAGCCCCTCCCTGCCCCTTTCAGCCGGTACCTGCCCCGCTGCTGGTTTTGCCAGGGTCCAGAGGAAAAGCCGCATGGACAGCGTCAGAGGGTGGTTTTTCCACAGTAGTGGCATCTATAGGTAACGTGACTGGTTTTCTTTTGTAGTTATTCCCTCATTCTTTGCAGCATTCCCCTCCCCCCACTAACCCAGGGCTAGATTACTCGATGTCCACCAGGTTTGGGTGCGAAAAGTGACGCTAACGGGGATGGATGGATGCACGGTGTGTTAATGGCTAGATAATGATGTGCCACGGCTCTCTCTCCGCTTCACATGGGGACACACTCAGCTTCCATCCGGGCTACCAAACTACACTCGGGAGATGCTCAGCGGGAAGCTGGCGAGGAAAATGCCCTGAGGCAGGACCTGGCCCCAGTGAAGGGAGCAGTTTGGGGTTGCAGTGAATCCGGCTGCAATGTCATTGACCTATGGTCTGACTGATCATGGGACGGCGTCAAAATCAGTTCCCCAAGACCCTCCCCTGGCCCTATCGGTTCATTGAAGGTTGTGTGGGGAAACGGAGGGTCGCCATGTGGATGAAGCCAGGGAAAAGGTACCTAAAGCACTGGTGGGTTAGGAGGTGGAAGGCATGCTTGGGGTGTGCTGAGAACAGTAGACCCTGCTGCTGGACAGCTCGGCCTTTGCTCATCCGCCCCCTCCTCTCGGACAGCTGGTGTCAAGCTGATCTATGGGCCCAGTCCCAAGGCAGGGCAGCTAGCGTTCAGCAGGAGCCGTCCCTGTGTCCCAGAGCCAGGCTCAAGGGCTGCTCTTCGGAGTCTGGCACCACCAGTCACTATCCCGCCTTGCTCAGCTACCAGCCAGACATGCATGGTGACCAGTCCTCACTTCTCTGCCTCTTCTCCCTGGGGCAAAAGCCACACATCCTTTAGGCTGTGAGCTCCTCGGGGCAGGTACCCTGTGTCGGGCAGGGTCAAGCCCACCACTGGCCCTCCGGCAAGGTGCTTCAGCTATCCAGGGCTGGCTCACGTTCAGCCGAAGCGAAGCGGGGGATCTAGCTGCTAAGAGTTCGTGGGAAGAGCCTGCCCCTTATGGCTTTGTCCATCCTCATCTTGTGGCTTCTCCCTTAAAGCGCCCCTTTGGTTAATGGTGGGTGGGATGCTATGGGGAGCGGAGAGGCCCCACATGCTGTACCAGTCTGAGCCCCTCCCCACAGTCTCCCTTCTCCACCCCCTGCCCTAAATGGGGCCACTGCATGAGAGAAATTATACTACAAGGAAACAGGATGAAGATGCAGCTTGCGTGCTTGCGTACCCTCCCAAGGAGCGCGCCCTCAGCCAGTTTGCCCTACTCCTGCCGCCAGCCTGCACGCACCAGGCCCTGCAAAGAGGCTCCCCTTGAAGCCACTGTGCTTAACCGCCAGCCAGCCCAGCTTCCAATCCAGCTGTATCCAGGGAAGAAAGCAGCTCCAGGCGTGGCCAGGGAGGAGCCTTTCCACCACACCCCCCTCCGCTCCTGCACTCAGACCCCGTCTCTCTCCATGTCGAAAAGTCCCTCCCGTCGAAGTAGCACCGGAGCCGGGTCACCACTCGCTGACTGGCTTATTTCTTCTCCACTTCTCGCCCTTCCCCGGCGGGCATCTCGGGCTCCCACAGGAGGAACTCGTGGAGCAGGGTGTTCACCGTCTCCGGACACTCCATCATCACCATGTGACTGCCCTCATCAATCACCTTCAGGAACGCCATCAGCAGGATCTGGGAATAGAGGACATGGCACAGGATGGCCATCAGGGCTTATGGAAACTGGAAGAGTCAGGATCCCAGCCAGCAGTTCCCCCTCCCATACAGGTGGGCACTAGCGGGGGTGGGGAGGGCATCTACTAGTGCTGAACTGATGGTGCAAGGAGGAAGTCTGGAGCTGTCAGACTCAATGGCAGAGCCCCTGGGGCTGAGGTCAGGCTCAATGGGCATGGACTGATTTCCCCCCAGCTCCAGTCCTGGCACCCAGCTCTGGGCTTATCTCATTGGGACGCAAGCTGCTGCGAGAGCCACCCTGCCCATGCCAGCAACACGTTCCACGCTGCTCGTCCCCAGAGGAAGAGGAGATAACGCCAGGCAAGGGCAGCTGAAGGGCTCTGCCTGTCTGTTCATGCACTGGCAGGCGTCAGCCATCGCTCACGCTCCAGCTAGCCTGGGGGAGCAGGGTGACCTCCAGGGCCGCTGGCTGGCAGCACAGGAGCCAGAGAGGAGATGTGCCCTGAGCCCAGCGTGCCTCTCTGATCAGGGGCAGGGAAGGGGGGGCAGGCAGTGGGTGGGGGTCCCTGCCCAAGTTGACCAGCATGTTGCACACAGCTGTCCACACAGGGTGGCTCTGCCCCCAGGACTGCATCCAGCTGGACCCCTACTCTGCCTCTCCACCATGGCAGTCGGGGGAGTTCAAGGGAAGGATGATATATCTGCATATGCAAATCAGAACCACATTTCATCCAATGGCTGCAACAGCTAGATTGGGCTCTGTCCCATGAGAGGGCACATTGCACCTGAAGGATGTGTTCCTTCCAGCCACTCAAGGCTGAAGGGTTTTAATGGGTCCTGGCCTGAGTCAGTACAGCAGGGAGGGGAGATCCCAGGGCAGGGGTCTCACTGGGGGCAGCTGGGGAGAGGCAGAGAAAACCAGGCGATATGACCCCACTGGCCTGGTCCAGCACAGCAAGAAGGGGGATGCTGACTACACAGACCAACGATCTGATGCCACTTAGCAAATCCCATTGCTTCTAACTCACGCTGTGCTCCTCAGCCCACGCAGGTCTGGCTGCCGGTACCGTACCTCGGCCATCCGCTGATCCTCCTCCACTGGCACAAACTTGTCATGCATGCCATGGACCAGCAGCACCGGCACGGTGAGCTCGGCGTGATAGACCTCGTCACCCTCCGGCCAGTACTGCCCACTCATCATGGCCCGCAGGACGAAGGAGGATACGTTGAAGGCGTTGCCTTCCTTGAGCAGCTGCTTCTCTTTGGCACCCTGGCGAGCGAAGCCAGCCCTACCGGGCACATGACAGAGAGTGGGGGAGAGTTAGCAGCATGGCCTGGGTCAGGGGGAGCCCAGCTGGGTCTGCAGTAGCACAGAGAGCTGGCGCGGAAGATGCCTGGCACAGGGAGTGAGCCCAGGCGATGGGCTGGGGAGGGAGAGCTGCTGTTTGCCTGCTGGGCGGACGGACTGACTGTCTCTGGGCAATGGCAGAGCCCAGATGATCTCCCCCTGCGCGTCTCTGCTCAGCTAGAGCCGGGCCCCTCTTGGGGCTGCAAGAGGCCAGGCAGGCCCCTGCCGTGGGTGCATACTAGCCCCTTCAGATGCCATGCTTAGCGGGACAATAGGTGAAGCTGTGCAAGAGGGGGTGAGAAGCAGATGTGGGGAGCTGCTGCCAGATGTGGCTGCCACTTGTCCTGGCACATCCCCAGCGCTGCCTCTGCCCTTGCTGGTACGGCCCGTCGTACCGAGCGGAGGAGGGGGAAGCTTTTCATACCCTTCTGCAAACCTCTCCCTCCCCAGTGTTAATTTTCTCCAGCCACAGCTGTCAGAAGAGTTGGCGACTCACTTGAGGAAGCTCCAGGCTAGGCAGGGGGACAGGCAGTGAAGGATGCAGGTTGGCATGTTGAAGATGGAGCACAGGCTGGGCTCCAGCGCGGTGGGGCCGCCCCCGTTGATCATGATCACCTTGTGGACCAGGTCCGGGTACTCATGGGCTAGGAAGGTGCAGAAGGAAACCCTGCAAGGAGGAGACACGGCATTTATCTGACGGGGGGGGGGCACCCGCAGTCACACCAGCTGATGTGGAAGTTACAAAGGCTGTTGATACTCCTATGTCTGAGTACAAAAAGGATTGAGGCTGGCGGCCGGGGGGGCTTCTCCCCCTTCCCCCCCCACATGGGATAGTGCTGTGTTAGAGAGGAGATACGCCTTCCTCGGAAGCTGTCCCAGCCATGGGCTCCCTACACACACCGCTCTGCCAACGCCAGTCACTCCTGACCTGCGCCCCCTCTCTGCTATCCCATCCCTGGGCTCCCCACACACACGGCTCTGCCGACCACCCTTAATCCTCCCCTGCTAATCCAGTCCTACTTGAAACATGTGGGTTGACCAAGAGCTGAGGAACCCCAATATCGTTGCTCCAAGTGAAACCCAGCCTGTACCATTTACTTTGCCTGAGACACATTTTGAGCCCCAGAGCAGGAGGGAGCTGATCGGTTCAGTCCTGCTTTATGTACACACCTGAACTCAACCAGCTGCTAGGGCATCTTTGCTCCATAATTACTGGGGTCTGAATTACACAGACGCTCCAGAGCTGGAACAGGGATAGCCTCTAACGAGTGTCTGATTCTCACTGCGCTGCAAATCAATCATTAGACAGCATGGATGAGAGTGTCCATCGCACAAGGACCTGGGTGGCGGGAGGGTGGGGGGGATGTTTCATCTCTGATCTAGTTGACAGCCAAGATCCCTTCACGTTCCACAGCTGTCTTTCAAACCTAATCCCCTTTCACTCACCGGCTCTGAGCCAGTATCTGTCTCCTCCATTCCTGGCCACACCATTAAATACCTCGGGAGGCTGCAGCGAGGGCCTGCTCCTTTACGAATTCCTTCTCCCCGCACTGCTCTTTGCACGGATTAACTGCTGCCTAATTGACTTTCTTGGACTTACTGCTATTTATAAGGCCCCCTCCCCCTTGCAGGACAGGTCATCAGCACTGCTTGGGAGCAGTCACTGCCCCTTCATCAGCCTCCCGGAGGCCACAGATGGAGGTCTTTGTGCAGCCTGGCTTCCAGCATTAGAGAGCAGAGGGGAGATGGTGCTGATCATAAGTGAAATGAGGTCTCCAGCTCTCAGTTTAGACCCTGAAGGATGATGCATATTGGTCCCTACCGGGAAAGCAAGAGCTGGGATGAGCTGTCTGGCTCTACCTCACTGCTAGGAGCACTAGGACTGCAAGTGAGTGGCCGGGAGCCCCTGGGGCATGATCGAAGCTGGACAGCCAAGGGGGTGGGACCGAGCTACGGAGACATTCAGATGCGGTTTCCCAGTTCAAATCCAGATCAGGTCTGGCCCGAGCCCTCTGTGCGATGAGGTGACTAGTCTCAGCACAGGACTTCTGCCCCACCGGCCTCTAGCCAGCCCTCTCGTCAGAGGTCTCGGCAGAGAGGCCAAGGATGGGAAGCGCCATGGAAAGTGATCTCCCCTTTCACCCGCAGTGCCTGGGGGTGAAGCACATGCTGTGGGGGGCCTGCCCAGTAGCTGTTCCCAGACTTCCTCAGCGTGGCTCAGAGCTCGTTGCATGGCCACTGGGAACTGCGCAGGCTACCTCTGCTCCCCGGGCAGCAGTGACCAGGGGGAGTGGAGCTGACACTAGGGCCAGCCAGCACAGCACAGCCCCCCAGAGTGCATGTTTAGGGCCTGTGATCTGGGGCTGAAGACTGAATCCGCCTGGGGGTAGGGATCATGCACCAGTCGACAATAGGCAGCAGGAGATGCACTGGGCTTTGCTGCAGCCGCTGCCAGGTTTGCAGAGTCTCCTCCCAGATTTAAGAACCAAATAAAAACTAATAATCAAGGGATCAGGAAGGAGGCTGACCACTCCCAGCCACCCCTGACAGCAAGGAGCCCACTGGGGAGAAGCTACCATTAAAGGGACAAGCCACACAGCTACCCTACCAAGCAGAGCCAGAGCGAGAGAGGTCTATTTGCATTACTGCTTCCTCTGGCCTTGCACAAGCCTTGCAGCTGCAACTTGGGCCACTAGTTTCCTTGACGGGACAATGGGCCAGCTGCATGGGGGGCTTCCCTCACCTTCCAAAGGGCCAGTCCAGGAGGATGGCCCAGTGGTGTGATCCAGCTTGATGAGTGGTTGGGACATGAGACCAGATGTACCGATCTGTAATTGAAAGACCTCTAGTCCTATCATCTTTCTTTCAGCGGGGAGTCCTGACCCACACGGTGTGTTGAGAGACCCATTCACTAGAGAAGACTATGCTGGGGTGGGGAGTTACCCACTGTGCAAGCCTCTCCACCACCTGCCGGTGCCTTACCCGTACGAGTGGCCTATCAGGATGTTCCTCTTCTTTGCATAGCGTTTGAAGACGGCCCTCATGTCCTCAGCCAGGGCATAGAAGGTGTAGGCGGCTGCGATCTGCGGGGCGGAGCTAGAGCCATGTCCGGCCAGGTCTGGGGCCACCACCTCGTAGCCCAGCTTGCTGAAGAAGTCCAGCTGCTCCTTCCAGATGTCCAGGGAGCCGCCCACGCCGTGGATGAAGAACAGCACCACGTCACTCTGCGTCCCCTTGCAGCTGCTGATCTGCTTCTTGCAGTCGATGTTGACAACCTTCTTGGGCTTGCGCTTCCGGCGCTTGCCGGGCGCCAGAGCCTGCTGGGTGCTGGAGCCCGGGTTGGCGGTGCCCTGGGTGGAGGCATTGCCAGCAACGTCCGAGAGCTCCAGTTCCATGGTGCTCTGGGGCTCCATGGGGCCGTTCTGGCAGTGCAGGAGCTCGGAGCGGATGGCATCGCCCAGGTTCTCAATCACCAGCTGCCCACTGCGGTAGAGGGTGATCTTGCGCTTACAGTGCACCACGCCCCGCTCGGGCCCCTCGGGTCCCTCCTCGGGCTGGCGGGTGGGCAGGGTGTGTTTCACCCGCAGGACCCTCCCGGGCTTCACCTCCAGGAAGCTGTAGCCGTCGCTGGACTCAAAGCTGTCCACAGGCCCCACCGCATTCGTTGTCTTGCCCATCAAGCAACACATGATCCCATCGGTGATACTGGTCAGCATGATGCTTCCTGGAAAGGGGTGAAAGGCAAGCAAGGAGGAGAGCTGTTAGCGAGGAGACCGACTCCCACTGAACCACCCGCGGTCCTGTCCCAGGCCAGATCTGCAGCGGGGTATGAATTGGCATTGCTCCATTGACAGCAGCTGAGGATCTGGCCTGTCTCAGGGCAGGGAGAGCCAAGCAGCCCAGTGTGAGCAGGACACGACTGAGCCTGGTTCTTCTCTACCCTGCACCGTGTGTCGTTGCTGTGCAGAGAGAGTGGAACATGCTGCCGTTCGGCTCTGTAGCACTTCACACCCACCAAGTGCAAGCAGCGGGGAATCAGGCCACTACAGCCAGAGCTCTTTGTCACCCTCCCCCAAAATCAGAAGAAAGAAATCCCCAATGTGGCCCCAGGGGGCCTGATTCTGTTCTTACTTACACTGGTGTGAATCAGCAGTAAGTCGAGCCAGTGGAGTCGCCCCGGGGTAAATGAAATCAGAGTGGGGCCCATTGGCTCTTAGCAATGCACATTTCTCCTGCTTTGGAGATGTTAAGTGCGGAGTGTTAGCACAGATGCGCCCTGGCAGAGACGCTCCAAATGCCCAGATGGGGCACTGGCGACGAGACGCAGCCCGAGTCTCTCCTCGCGCTACCAGAGCACCAGCAAAGTCACCTCAGTGAAAGTCAGAGGAGGTTCAAGTCCCATGAACAGTGCCAAAAACAACCCCACTGTCCTGACTCACAAAACACAGTAACAGTCCCCCCTTCACTGCTGCAGCCTTCCTGCTACCCACGTCACCAGATACATGCTTTGCAGGCGACTGAGAAATACACTCTGATTTATCTAGTCCCCTTTCGTCAGGACTCCTGGGTTCTATTCCTGACTTGCTGAGTGCCATGGATAAGTCCCTTCCATGGATGGCAACTGTGATTAAGCAAGTCGGGTGTGACGCACAGCCAGCCTGGCTGGAGATAAACTCAAGTAGCAATAAACCAGCGTCTAGATAGCAACAATCCCTGGCATCTCACAGCCACCCACAGTGGCAGAGACAGGCCCCAGAAGAGATAACATTAGAGGGCATGTATCTAGGTCACCACACACACCCGCCAATACTATTCCTTTGCCCTTGCCTAGCGCCCACACACCTCAAAGCACTTTACAGACACACTCGTTAATCAGAATTTACAACAAACATGGGAGGAGAGGAAGATTATTACCGTCATTGGCATCAAGAGAAGAGACTTACCTGAGACCACAGACCCAGTCTGTGACCAGCTGGCAGTTCTAACCTGAAACATCCCCACCCTGTGAGGAGAGGCCGATTCTGCTGAGAAAGGGTTACGTGGGTTCTGGGCAGAAAGAAAGAGAGGGAGAATCTAGAGTGTGGGCTGAGCAGGCCTGAGCGAGGAACAACAGGTGTAGCCAAGCCTGAAGGGAAGGCTTGAGCTGGAATTTAGGTTACTGCTAAAGCCAAATCCCAGGAAGGGGCGAGTTTGGGATGCAGGCTGGGAAAGGAACCTACTCGCGGAGCCAGACAGCAAGGGGAATGTAAATGTTTTTTGTGACACACAGTTCCATTGCTGCTTCCGACGGATCACCCTCCCATCCCTCCACAGACACACACACACGCCCCCGCCACACGTACACCTTTGCTATCCCCTCTCAGTTCTGAATCAGCTCAAACTCAGGGAATCGTTTAAATCAGATTCTTCGATGCTTGCCAACAAGAACTCCCAAAGAAGAGCACATTTTTAAAAAATCTACATTTTACTTCTGGCCCCGAGTTAGCCGCTAAAGAAAGGCAGCTACAACCACCAACATATATAGATTTGAATGGTCTGAATAATGCATCTCCAGTCAAAACCACCAGTACAAATATTGGGAGCTTGAAATTACAGGGAATGGAGTTGGAGAGTTTAATTACAGTCATTCCATAAACCAAGTCTGACAATCGTGCGGAAGGGGAGTTTGTGGGGGGTGTAATTACGGCTCCTCTTCCTCAGGGGGCGGGAGGCATTCTTATTGGCCTTCCAACCTCTCAAGGACCAGACCGTAGAAGGCCCAGCTAAGGACACAGATTAGTGAGAGACCACCATGGTCCGGGCCACCCCCAGTAAGAGGACCCAGACCAAGCTATGACATCTGCCTTCACCATCTCAAACCAGTGAGAGCCTGGATGGGGCCTGTCTTAGCCTGTGAACTCCCTGGAGCAGGGGCCATTTGGGCAACACTGAGCATTGCTGGTGTGTAACAGGGTAACCTGCCTCTTTGAGGGCCAGGAGGCCTCAGGTCTGCCAGCCCTGTTCAATTAGCCCCAGCCTGCTACACCTACCTGGGCAGCGGGACTGAAAAGGAGGAAAGCCCAGCCGAGAGCTGGTTGGAGGGCCCCTGCAACCTCAAGACTCCAGGTGGGAGGCCCGAGTCACTGCTCCGCAGAGAGGCTTCTGCAGGGAAGAGGCTGCAGCCAGGTGGGGCTGGGAGTGGATTGACGAAGAACTCAAGTGGGGTGGAAGGACTCTTGTTTGGGTGGACTCTTGCTGGACTTTTGTTACCCCAAAAAGGGGACTAGACCATGAGAGTGACTCTGCAGGAGGGCTGAGCTGCATGAATCCCCAGGAGCGATGGAAAACCCTTGTGAGGAGAAACCTGAGACAGGCACCATAGAGCCCCCCTGGCCAGGAGGGGGTGTTCTGGAGGCGCGCTGCCTGCGTCGAGGAGCCCTGATCCTGACCAAGGCCTCTGGGCACGACCTATTAAATAACAACAGGGGATGGGATGTGGCAACTTGCCCCTGCAGCACACTGATTCAAAAGCAGTCCAGGTGGGCAGGGGCTGACAGATCTAACCATTGGGTGGCCCCTATGTGAAATGAGTTGGTGGGTCTCGGTGTAATCGGCACTACAAGCCCCCGCCCCGCTGGCTGGCAGTTCTCAGTCGGGAGGCCAAGGGTGAAATAAGTCCTGGAGACTGGGCTCCTCTCTCACCCCAGGGGTGGCTCTTCCAGCTCAGGGCTGAGAAATCAGCAGGATCGGTATAGGGGACGCTTGCCCACCACTGTCCCAGCTCTGTGCAGAAGCAGGTGACTTCTAGCTCCAGGGCTGCCAGTTTACTCAACATCCACCCGCGTCAAAATCTAGCCGCTGTGAGCCAAAGTGCGGGCGAAAGTCCCAGCTGCTGCCCGTTGACAATGCGCTGGGGGATGAAAGCAGCAGCGCTACCATCCAGCTCCCGGCAGCACGCATCTCTGGAGCAGGGTCTCCTATTTCCCCCCACAGCTGGCCTGCCAAGACAATGGTGGGCCGCTCCCTTGTCCCGCTTAGACACGGAGCCGCCTTGATCGCAGCGGCCCAGCAATGCTACGACGTCCAGGAGAAACAGCCCATTCTATGCAAGTACGGGACGCTGGAGCGATGTGTCTGAGGGCTGCAGTAACACGTCCGCCAGCTGTAAGGTGCTGGCTCTTTACTGAAGAATACTCACGCCCACATGCGTCCTCACCAGAGGTTCCCATGGCTGCAAGAGTGAGTCTCAAATCAGGCTTCTGGATCAGAAACTACTGGGGTTTCTGTGTGCCCTGCAGCGTCTTTGCATGTGGAGAACTCTTCTGCCAGCCTGCGTCCCTCCTCCCGCCCGTCCACAGCGGGCACATGGGCCAAGCCAGTGGCTGCGAAGAGCAGGAGGAATGGGGAATCAAAGCAATACAGAGTCAGGGTTACAGGGAAAGCTGCAAAATACTTATGCAACAAGCTTTCAACCCAATGGACAAATGTGGGGTAGGAAGGGAGGGAAGGAGGGAAAGTGGCCAAGGTCACAGCAAAGGGTTCAAAAAAGAACTAGATAAATTCATGGTGGATAGGTCCATCAATGCCTATTAGCCAGGATGGGCAGGGATCGTGTCCCCAGCCTCTGTTTGCCGGAAGCTGGGAATGAGCAACAGGGGATGGATCACTTGATGATTCCCTGTTCTGTTCATTCCCTCTGGGGCACCCGTGGTTGGCTACTGTTGGAAGACAGGACACTGGGCTAGATGGACCTTTGGTCTGACCCAGTGTGGCCCTTCTTATGTTCAAACCTGCTCTGATCCGCCAGAGGCATTGCCTGCACCTGCCTTCAGGAGAGTCGGGGTGACTTCAAGTCAGGGACTCAGCTCAGCGTGTTGCTATGGTGCAGGTGGGAGAACTTTGGCCCCAGTAAGGTGGATACACGGGAGCGTAGCTCCTATCTGCTGCGGCACTGGGATGCTAGATTGTGCACTGGGGAGAAATTCACGCCAGGGCAGGGAGACAGCAAAGTTAGGCTCCCATCTAGGTCACCCTGGACTGAAGAGGAACAGAGGCCTTGTGGGGTCAATTTCACCCCATATGCTTGGACATCTGAAATCAATGCAATAGCACTAGTGTAATCGCCCTCAGCGCAGTGAGCTCATACTAGCCATGCTCTCAAGCCCTGCAACCTGCCACCCTAGGAGGTGGATCAGGGTCATTATCCCTGTTATTGATGGGGAAACTGAGGCACAGAGAGGTGGTAGGAACTTGCCCAAGGGGCAAAGCAGGGAACAGAAGCTGGGAGTTCCTGACTCCCACTCTAATGCTTAGCCCTCCAGATAAAACAGTAGGTCAAAGGATCATCACCACCGTTGGAAGAAGGACTAGGGGGATGGTGTCATACGGTGGAATGGCCCTTTGGCTTGCATCCCGTCTGTGACTAATTAGCTGCCTCCCAGGTGAATAGTCTGAGAATCAGGTGATAAGATTCAGGTCACCTGGTCCTTGGCTAAAAGGCTAACAATCAGCCAGCTGGGAGTGAGCCAGGCCAGCCCCTGTGGAGAACAGGACTGGGTTTAGCTCTTGGATTTATGTCAAACTGTTGGATTTGGAGAAGCAAAACCCAACAGTGTAGAGAAGAGCCTGAGCTGCAGCTGTTGGATGCCCTGGCTTACAGGTGGGTGTTTGGTGCGTGCGGACGGAGGCTGTTTCATGCAGATGGGAACAGGAGATGGAAGCCCAGAGGGCGAGATGAAGAGCTCG